CGTCTGACACGGTGGTTGAATGTGTTGTACACATTATATCTGACCTAATTTTTTTCTAAGTAAAATCACGAATTTTGATATTGTTTTGCTCAACTTGTGTACCAGCACATTTTTTCCTACAAATTTGTTTGTGTGTTTGTCTTTCCAATCAAATCTTGCGATCGAAATTTCTGGCACTTCCCAGTTAGCTAGCGCGCTGAAATTTTCAGGGAAGCTTTCTTTTGGATGACCATTGAATATTCAATTGTTATTATTACTAAATTGATCAATGGAAACATTTTATTGAGCATTTTAGACCGCTATATAATCTATATATATAATTCTCCTCTGCTAGCCATTAGAAAAAAAACCAGCGACGCGTACCTCGCGCGCAGTGAAGCGAACGATCACATGTCGCCACAGGCTTAGGGGCAGAGAATTTAGCTTGAACCGAGTTTAAACTTACAGGAGGTAGGCCAGTTTGGGGGAGACGATATGGTCGAGTGGTTGGGCACACGATTGCTATCCCACTCGACACGGGTTCAAATCTATGTGTTCTAGTCAGTAACGTATTCAAACAACGAGTTTTTTACGAGTTGTCTTTTTACGAGTTGTCTTTTTACGAGTTGTCTTTTTACGAGTTGTCTTCGTTTACCCAAAAAAAGTGAAAAGATAAAATCGATAGCAAGATTTTAATGCAAACAAACAGACAAAGACTAAAAAGTAGAAAATAATAATCATTAAAAAAGTTTTAAAAAACCCACGTTTTCTGATTGAACTAAAAAGTAGAAAATAAATGCTATAGGCCCTACATCACAATAATGCAAGCGATCACTCTACTATAAGCGAGCAAAAACGTGGGGCGCCGTGATTTTCTTACAGTTTCTAATACTGTTGACTCTCTACAAGCTCCCTAATAAAAGTCAATAGTATTATCTAATCAATAGTAATATAACTTTTACTTCGGCGCCCCACGTTTTTGATCGCTTATAGTAGAGTGATCGCTTGCATTATTGTGATGTAGGGCCTATAGCATTTATTTTCTACTTTTTAGTTCAATCAGAAAACGTGGGTTTTTTAAAACTTTTTTAATGATTATTATTTTAAATTGTTTCACATTTTCAATATCCAGATTGGAGTTCAAGATACTTCTGGCGTCATTTTTTTGTTGTTGAAATATATGAACATTTAAAATAAATATTTAATTAATTATTTTATAAATGATTTGTGAAATGTATTCACTTAAAATTAGCAGTTCTTTGTAATACTAAGTAAATAGCAATCCAGAATTACTGATGTTTTACTCAAATTTGTGTACACATAGCATAGTTTGCATTATACTTCACAGATGGAGATTGCATTTGGTACATATTAGTACACCAACAACAACATTTTAGATACCTGGAGTATTTTTTTTAACACAAATCCTGAGGTATTGTCTTGAACGACTACCCACTAATAACCAGAACACAATCACATCTACATTACTTTAACAAAAATAAGCAAACATATTTGAATGGATCAAAATTTTTATTTGGTGACAATAACATGACTCTGTGGTACAATGGTAAAACATTAAGTCTGCTAATAGCAACATTTGTATTGCAGAAAGTCAGTTTCAAGTGTTTATATTGTTTTAATAATGGAGATTTTAAATGTAATTAAACAGTCTTTGAAAGTTTATTTTTAGCATTTGATTAAGGAACATTATGTAAATACATACTTCTATATAAATTATACATATATATATATATATATATATATATATATATATATATATATATATATATATATATATATATATATTGACATAAATAATTGATATTCTAATTCTATTATCAAATCTTACCTGTTAAAGAAAAAAAATGGTATGGGTTCATTAATACTACTTAACTAATTGAACTGTAGGATCACTCATTATAGATTAAATAATTTCAACCTTTAAATGGACACATACACATATAGGGCATATATACCCGATCAACCCTCTACACACGAGTGTAGAATTACATGAACAATTACATGAACAATTACATGAACGATTACACAGGCCTTACTCAACCAACGTATGGCTCTGTATGTCACTGACGCACCATATCACAGCAGAAAACCACACCAGCGTACAACACCAAGCACCGACCACACCAACTTACGCCACTAAGATCAAACTACAGCAGCTTATCGCTATTGAGAAAGACGCACATGCTAATTTTCTATTTTATATCAGAGGCGTAGCGACCCTTCCCGGCGCCCGGGGACAAACTTTCAATTTGGCGCCCCCCTCAGGAGCAAATTTTCAATTCTGCAGTCCTCAAACTTTCGATTTGCACCCTCCCTCAAACTTTCGATTTGCACCCCCCCCCCCCCGTCAAACTACTTATAATGCAATAATGCAGCTAAAAAGACATTTTAATTTGTTTTTACAACCCATTTTGGCGCCCCCTAAGGTCGGCGCCCGGGGACATATGTACCCCCCCTCCCCCCCATCGATACGCCTCTGTTTTATATGCTATGGGACTGTGTGGTTGAGTGATAAAGAACTCGACTTCTAGGCCGAAGGTCTCAAGTTCGGATCTCGGTGCGGACTTGTAACAGGAATTTACTCAGCTCTTATTTATACCCAACACGAAAGGGAAAGTAAAAGCGGCTGGACATAGCGATGGCCACACTATCCATTTATATGTCGACGCCAAGAAACATATGAACTCTACTTCATCTGAACTATGGAGCGTTGGGTCCAAAAGGGGAATCTGCTTATTTAGTATATGGAGACAAACAGATTTGCAACCACTGAATTATAAAAAAAAAAATGAATGCATTTTAAAATGTAGCAATTTAAATGAAGAATATACGAGTACTTAAATAACAAGGTTTTAATATCTGAACACTTCCAGCCTAGCTCACAAAAAATATCAAACAATTTTTAAAAATGACTTTAACAATCACAACTCTATCCTCCAAACAAGTGAACGTTCAATACAATTGTCTGGGTTTGTTGCATGAATACGACTCTAGTTCAATAAATTATTTTGAAACCAGATGGGCAATAAAGTTTTTCTTTGAAACATGTGTACATGAATTTAATAGCAGACACTCGAATACTTATAAAGTTTCACTGAGAAAACACGTCCATAATCATTTTATTTTCAATTGTCCATATTTTTCTCTAACAACCAAAGTTGAATGTATCAGCTATTGAATATCATACATGGTTATAGGATACTAAAACGACATTCAGAAAGTGTGTACATCATTACTCTTTTTGTTTGTACATCATCACCAGTCTTTATGTGTACATCATCACTAGCCTTGTTGTGTACTTCGTTACTATGCTAGTTTTGTACCCATCACTATACTTGGTGTGTATATCATCACCATACTTGGTGCGTACACCATCACTATACTTTGTGTGTACATCATCACTGTACTTTATGTGTACACCATCACTGTACTTGTTCTATCCTTAAGCTCTATAAGAAATTTATTCTGTCATATACCTCAATGTTTTACTGTGCTTTAAACTACACATAATGTAGTACACCAGTAGTTCTAGTGATTAACTAGGCTGTTCATTTAATTCATTACATGTAAATACACTTTTAAACAAATCGTTTTAAAAACACTTCACCGTTATATATTCGCATTAATATATATATATATATATATATATATATATATATATATATATATATATATATATATATATATATATATATATATATATATATATATATATATATATATATATATATATATATATATATATATATATATATATATATATATATATATAAAGAACGCGCTGAAAAACATTACTGGTACAAACAAATGAACAGTAATTTATCAAAATACTTGATAATATATTTTAAAATAGTTCAACCAACACAATTAGGCTAACCAACAATTCACATCAAATCAAAACATTGGAACATTTGGTCACTAGTGGACGTGATAATTACAATGTAATGAAGGGGTGGAGTATCATGGGGGGGGGAATTTGTGGTGTGGGGTAAGATCCAATAGAAGGGAGAAGGGATAAGGTTGGGATGGATAAAATGACGGATAGGGGGTAAGATGCAGGGGATGCAATATAGGGTGTTGGGTAAAGTGGGGGAGGTATTATGAGGGGTAAGATTGGGCGGGGGGGGGGGGTAAGAAGGGGGAGGGGTAAGACGTAGGGTAGGGGTAAGATGGACTATAGAGGCACGTGAACATGTCATACAAAACATTTTCGGTACATTGTTGTACAGCCTATAGAAGAAATTATACACATAGAAGTAAGTATTAATTACAAGCTGTTTATAAAATATTTCGTTTATTAATAAGTGATTACTCTCGTTTTTTAGAATGAGACTCATATCTTGTATACAAGTAACAGTCGATATGTATGTCAGTGTGGGTTTGTTAGCACATACAGTTTTATGTATTGAAAGTAGTTGGTTCACAGCGAGTTTGGAATGGCTATTTCAGGTATGGTTTAGAGGCTGTTCTCTCCGCCCCTGCTAGTTAGAAGCTGTTCTCTCCGCACCCTGCTAGTTAGAGGCTGTTCTCTCAGCCCCTGCTAGTTAGAAGCTGTTCTCTCCGCCCCTGCTAGTTAGAGGCTGTTCTCTCTCGCCTCTTAGTTAGAAGCTGCTCTCTTTGACCCTGCTAATTAGAAGCTGTACTCTCAGCCTCTGCTAGTTAGAAGCTGTTCTCTCCGCGCTTGCTAATTAGAAGCTGTTCTCTCAGCTCCTGCTAATTAGAAGCTGTTCTCTCAGCTCCTGCTAATTAGAAGCTGTTCTCTCAGCTCCTGCTAATTAGAAGCTGTTCTCTCAGCTCCTGCTAATTAGAAGCTGTTCTTTCCGCCCCTGCAAGTCATAGGCTGTTCCCTCCAACCTTATGAGCTGGAGGCTGCTCCCACCTCCCGTATGAGCTAGAGGCTGTTTTACTCAGCCCTTGCTGATTAAAGGCTGTTTTACTTAGCCCCTGCTAGTTAAAGGGTGTTTACCCAACCATTCTACCTATGTCGCCGCCTCTGTGAGTTAAAGACTGCCCTCCCGTTGTCCGCCCCTGAACTTGCTGACACGCCCCTCACCGTTCCCTACCAGCAGATGATTCGACGACGATGAAGACGACGATGAGAAATTATTCAGCTGCACGGCACTTGCCGGCACCGAAGTGACATCAGTGACACTGAGCCGGAACGTCTTGGAGATGCCGGATATAGTCGAGCCTCGAAACCGCCGAGTGCGTCTCCGCTTCAGGCAGCAGTAGAAGACCGTCTCCAGACAACGCTTTCGGAACCGTCTGGTGCTGAAGAAGTACAGATAGAAGTTGATGGCGTGGGTAGAGTCGCTGAGGAAGAAGATGAGTTGTTCCGTGAAGACGTACTGCGCGTGCGAGTTGGTATGCTCCTCGTACTGCCAGTAGTAGTTGGCGGCGTAGAAGAGGGCGTTGGGTGTCATGAGGAGGACGAAGGCGATGCAGACGATGACGAGCATGATGGTGATCTGTCGTTGTTGTCGCATGGTCTCCGCCACTTGGTTGGCCTTGTTCGTTAGCTCGCGCTACAGGAGCACAGAATACAACATGTTAGCCAGATTGTCAGGTATATATATATATATATATATATATATATATATATATATATATATATATATATATATATATATATATATATATATGTATATATTATATATATATATATATATATATATATATATATATATATATATATATATATATATATGTATGATATGATATATGCATATGTATATATATATATATATATATATATATATATATATATATATATATATATATATATATATACTATATCATTTATAGAGAGAATATCATACTATATAAACTAAATCATATATACATATACTATATCATATAAACATATATATATATATATATATATATATATATATATATATATATATATATATATATGTATATAATTTTTTTTTTTATAAATTTATTTATTTATAAACATAGTGATGATTTAAATTATGTACAACAACAGGTCTTTAGAAGCAAATCGAGAGAGATAAGCCCTCTAAGTCTCAGGCAACGCACCACAGCATGTTAACACGTAATGCTTAATTATACTGTAGGAAATCTCTCCCAATATGACAGCTCTGAACAAAGAGGCAGTAGACCAAATAAACTGTTAACCACCAACCAACTGACCTGTACTCTAGCTGACCTACCTATCCCAAAGAGGCAGTAGACAACATAAACTGTTAACCACCAAACAACTGACCTGGACTCTAGCTGACCTACGTATCCCTAAGATGATGAGCGTGTTCATCACTATGAGCAGTATGGCGGGCAGGATGGCTAGGAAGAGGGCGTCCAACCAGCGGACAGCGTGCTGCATGCTCTTGTTCTCCCCGTAGTACTGAGTACACCGTAGGTCTCCATTTTTTGACTGCATCTGAGCTGTGAAGATGTACTGAGCGTTGGCAGCGACCAGCGTGAAGAAAACAAAGATCAGACCGCCGATGTGGATCTTCCTGCAAACAAAATGTGTGGATGTTGAGGTGAAGGAGAAACACATCCAATAGATTACAAGACAGATTGCTGGGAGGTTGGATAAATGGATTACCCTCGTCCCCCCACCCTTATATGTTATTGTTTTCTTTTGTGATAGAATGTAAAAAAAACATTCACTTGTTTTTATCGATCCATTATCGTGTTTGTATTGGTCACATTGTGAGATATAGTAAGTCAAAACATTTGAAACGAGAAAAATTGCCCGTTGAGGAAGGATACACCGGGCGCTAGGCTGATAGTGCTGTCTCTTTTCTCTAAACTAAAACCAACCCCCCCACACACCCCCCCCCCACCCACCCCCCACCCCCACACACACCACCCCCCACCCACCCACACACCCCCCCCCCACACCCCCCACACCCCCCCCCCACACACCCCCACCCCCCACCCCCCTAAAAAACATGTCTACCGTCCCATTCAACGAAATATAATTATATACTTTTTCCAGTGTCCGACCCCTCCCCGAAAATTCTACCCCCGCCCCCGAAAATTTCAAGTACCCTCACCCCTCTCCGTGGAGGAAAAAGTCTGAAAGAAACACTGGTGTCGCGCATAGCCACTACGCGAAGAATTGCATTAAAGAAATTGCAAGAAAACCACTTTTTAGATTAGAAACATTAATTAGGCGGTAATTTTATTATAGAGTATCGATGAGGAAATTTCTTTTGAGTTGGGGAGAGGGGGGGGGGGGGCTCAGACGTTCTTACGCGGGGGTGGGGCTTCGCCCCTACCCGAAGAATTGTATGAAAGAAACTCTTCACGCAAACCACTTAGATTAGACCAAATTGCCTTTGTATTGAATGTTTACTCGATAATCAATGACGTCATATCAATGTGTGCACTATCCGGCTTGAGATTATTTTCTACTCTGTGCGCTAAATGTGTCGACGTCATACTTCGTTTTTCGAATTACTATGCATGTTTTTAAATTGCTTGTCTTTTCTCTAGAGCGTTCTTGTCAGACAGATAGATAGATAGATAGATAGATAGATAGATAGATAGATAGATAGATAGATAGATAGATAGATAGATAGATAGATAGATAGATAGATAGATAGATAGATAGATAGATAGATAGATAGATAGATAGATAGATAGATAGATAGATAGATAGATAGATAGATAGATAGATAGATAGATAGATAGATAGATAGATAGATAGATAGATAGATAGATAGATAGATAGATAGATAGATAGATAGATAGATAGATAGATAGATAGATAGATAGATAGACAGACAGCGAAACTATTATTATAGATGATTAAAAATAGAATCTTCTACAAGTTTAGTATGTGACGTCAACCTTCTTACAACACCAGTCTCTCCAGGGCCGGCGCTACCTTTAGGGCGAACTAGGCGGTCGCATAGGGCGCCATCCGTAGAAGGATGCAAAAAGGTTTAATCGCTTTTATAATAAACCGGGAGTGATCTCCCCTAAACTTTCTCGAATATTCTTATGTAACTTGGAATATAGACATGATTTTTAATTACTGAAACTTTTAAAAATAGAATAGAATCTCATAGAAAAAAGAATTGCGCATCAAGCAAACACAAAAAAAAATGTGCATAATAGTGCGCAATATTATTAGTACTTTATAAATTTACATGCGTTTTTTGAGAAATCGGAAATAGCGTAAATTAGTACTTCCGGTCAACGGAAATTACTCAAAATTTGAAAGAAGGTAGAGAATTTAATCTTTACTTAATGTGAAATTTCATGTATCTATCTGAAATAGTACTCAAGTTAAGGGCTTTTGAAAAATTCAAAGTAGAAAAAGTACCACTTCCGGTTATCGGAAATCGCTCAAAAGTTGATACGGATCTACGATTTTGATAAAATACTTATATATGAAATTTCATCAACCTAGCTGTAACGGTACTCAAGTAATCGTGTTTACACACACACAGACAGACAGACACACACACACACAGATACACACAGACATACGGACAAGATTGCAAAATTATGTTTTTCCGTATCAGTGAGTTGTAAAACGTCGAGATTTTTTTTTTTGCACGATTACAAGACTTTCTCTATACTTCGTATAATCGAGAAAGTAAAAAGTACCCAATAATTAATATCTTTGATTATCTTTTATAAATTATAGATGGTAATATACAAAGGAGTGGCGATCTATTTTGGCGCCCAGGACGAACTATCAATTTTGCACCCCCACCCCAAAATTTGGTTTGTTTAGGCCTATATGTATTCGCGATGGTGAAAATGCAACCCCACCTCCCTAATTTGGAAAGGTTGGGGCACTTTTTACTAGTCACTTTGCCTTTTGATTTTAGTCTCACATAATTGATGTAGAAAACGATTAAATAAGCTCGTAATTTAAATTTCGAACATTTCAAACGGTTATCTAATTTTAATGTTGATTTAGGGATCGCTCCAGCGCATGACGGGGCGTTCCAAAACACGTGCAATTTTGGTTTTTAATAGGGCTTGTTAGTCTCGTTTTCTATGACTTTGAATTAGAAATCTATTCTGGTGTATAGAGTTTTGTAATGACGGAGTGTTCAAAGTATTGTACTTGTCTGGTAAGTTTTGATGAATCGTTTAGATTTGGGAGTAACGGCGGAAGGCTGTTGCTGATATGGTTTCGTATGTATAAAGTATCGAAGTGTTAAAGAATCGTATTTTTTATTTGGTTGTTGTGTAGTTGAAGGTCTAGTGGAATCTGGTAGTAGAAAAATGAGAATGTAGGTGGTGAGGTATCGGGACTATCGAGTCTTGTGGTGTTAAGGTATCGAATTGTGTTGACTGTTAATGTGTAGTAGTAGGTCCAGTTAAATCGTTGTTGATTGAGAGTATCGTTTGTAGAGCTTAGTGAAGTTAAGCGAGTTGGTGTCGTAGTTCTGGAGCATCGAGTCTAGTTATGTTTATCGAAGTTTGATATGTGTTGTGAATGTAGTAGAGTTTGTCGAGTAGTCGAGTTTATCGTAATTTAGATGATTTCAATTCATGACGGAACACGCTAAAAAGAAAGGTAGGCGTTCTCTAGCTAAAAATCTTTAGTTTTTTACGTATCTATATTACCATTCTTAAGGTATTAATATGTAATATAATATAGGCTGGAATTTATAACTAACCGTAAACTTTGTTGTTTTTTTTTTCAAATTCAAATTTATTTTTATATTTAATCAATAATTATAGCTAAGGTTAACCGTAATTGATTTTTAAGGCGTCCCTTTATTTAGGGGATCCAAAATTTATAGTATCTTTATTATATTGTGTGAACTATAATAAGTGTGTCATCAAGGTTGACTAGAAGTTTCTTATTATAAAGATACTGTGTTTAGACTTTCAAACAAAATCTACAGTTAAGTAGTGAATATGTAAATATATATTATTTTGACATGTTTACAAAGTTAATATAAAACATTTGTTAAAATTATTACGTAATGAAATTTAGAGCGTTTTATTGTGTTTCTCTAGCATGTTTTAGTTACACTTTTTTAATTTAGCTATTCTTGTGAAAGTTATTACCCTTGAATAAAATGTTGGTGTTTGGATTTTCAAATGGGAGATAATTCGTTGCTTAACTTTACATTCATTTCAAATCTATGCACCTTAGGTTGACCGCTAACTTATAAATACAACTTTAAATTATTATTTGCTATTGTAATAATTATATAGAGCATAAGCTCTAACAAAAATAGTTTGGTAGGTATTTTTAGCATTATCAAGTTGAAAAACAAATAGATCTGTAGCCGTTGTAGATGCAATACTTAATCCTAGTACACATACAGTATACAATAAATGCGTCTAAAATCGTCTTAGTTGCAAATTAATCATCTAATTAATTAAGTGTCTTTTTCATATTTTTCACTGTTCACGCAGTGCATATAATAAAATTGGAACGATACAGAGAAGATTCGCATGGCTCTCGCGCAGAGATGACACGCAGAATCGTGAAGCGTTTCCAAATTCATATTTTTCACTCTCCTAAAGGATTTATATATATATATATATATATATATATATATATATATATATATATATATATATATATATATATATATATATAAAACAATAAAATTTATTATCTTTTATTTTTCAAAAACAAAAAAAATCGTTACATAATCACACAATATAGACATTTTAGAATTACAACTAAAACCAGTCAAGATTAAAACAGGTAAGATCCGTTCTGGAACTCACCTTGGGAGGTCTGCAGAGAGCCCAACACTACAATAACTTTTTTCCAGACTGTTTTCTCACGGGAGGGGGGAGCATTTGAAATTTTCTAGAGGGGGGTGAGGAGCTATGTCGTAAAGTACAAAGTAGACTCGTGGACAGCAACAATTTCAATAGAATGTGATTACGCTTGCAAAATGGAATTGAAGAAATTAGTACAAACTTTTGCGACGAAGCAGGCAAGTACAATTTAATTTTGATGTCTACTTATAACGTGTATGTAATTTATAATAAATTAGTATGTCACTTTTAATCAATTGTTTTCTTATACATATGTTTTAGTAACTAATGTGTGTGAAAGGGGGCGTTTTAAGAAGTTTGGCCTAGGGCGCTATATAACCTGGCGCCGGCACTGAGTGTCTCTTCACTCGCTTACATTTTCAACTCACTAAATACATCTCAAAATTCTTCACCTACAATCTACTCCACCCACCTCTCTAACGATACTATAATTCTACTGAGAATTTTAAAGACTTTTTTGTTCGTTATAAAACCCCATTTTTGTATGTCACGAGTTAATTGCTCAACCCTGTTTTAACCCCATCTTTAATCAACCCTTGTCAACCCTCCCTCATTAATCTTCCCTTTTTAACCCTCCCCCTCCCCCGCAATATCTTGACACACGAGTCACCCCCCCCCCTCCCCCCTCCCCACCCCTTCCAACCACTAGAAGTTGCACAATTTTACTGCAGGATTTAGCTAACAGAAAAACCTCCACCCCCCCTTCTCCCCACCCCCCACACACTTTTTTAACAGAAAGACTGATCTAAGACCCCCTTCCCCCTACCCAGAACAGTGCGCTGCAAAAAAAGCACCCACCCGCTCCATTAATAGAACGACTGCAAGCTAATGAAAAAACTGTTGAGGGTAGTTGAACTTTTAATGTCCATCCATCTACGACCAAACGGCGCATCTCTCCGGGCTTATTGCCTGAGTTCCAGCCCACTCCAGACTTAAAGACTGTTTGATGTGCGCGTCACTCACGATAAAATGAGCTCCCAGTTCTGAAGGACTAGCAAACAATCTTCTAAACGTGGCAGGCGTCCTGGGACTCTGGGATCCAAGAGACCGAAGTAATTGTCTTGTAGTCTGCGGAGTGGCGGGGCGGATGCTGCTTGCTTGAGGTGCAGCTTGAGTGCTAGATGATGCAGCTGAAACAGCTTGAGTGCCAGATGATGCAGCTGAAACAGCTTGAGTGCCAGATGATGCACTTCCAGCTGATTCTTTTACCACAGACGTGACGTCACACAGAGCAAGATCAAGCAGAGATCATCTGATTTAGAGACACGCGGTTATCTACAGATATCATGGCCGTGACCGTTTTCCATTTTATGTCGGGTATTAACAAGAGCTGAGTCATCTCATAACTGTCTCGGTTTCTCAAATCTGAAGGCGTGTCTGAATGATAGAGTATGCTACCCCAAACAGAAAAGATTGGATTTCGCTCACAGCGTACCATAATCTATACAATTTTGATGCTTGGAATTTTAGTCAATATACAATTTATCTTGTTATGCATTACGCTTTTATGCCAAACGTTTGTAAATTTTATAAAATACTACCTCGCTGACACTGTAGGGGACTAAACAGTTCGTTGAACTTTTAGTTTTTGTCACTGAGTTTTTTCTCCTCTTTAACAGGTGAGCTCTACTTCACCTGCAGTAACAACCCTATACAAATTTGCAAGAGGCTATTTTTTATCATCTTAATTAATTAAAGACAAACATGCGTGTAGATTAGACACAGAGAGAGAATTAACGCTTGTGACGTCACTTCCCTTTGTGAATTGTTTCATAAAAACATCAAGTGGGATTTTAAAATGTTTAATTATCTTAATTATCAACACCTGCTTCAGACTCTATTTAAACCGTTAATTTATTTAACTACACGCGAACTCGCACTTAAAGGAGGGGTTAATCGTCAGGTTATGAGCGTTAAAAGCAGACGTAATGTTCGCCTGTTAAATTTTACTAGCAGTAAAATAACATTGGCTGTTAAAATTGACAACAATAGACACAATGTTCACTTTGAAGGGTTCGCAAAATATTTTTATATCTTCTAAAGAAACATTTGGTTACCCGTATTTTTTTATTTTGTTGCTTTTTTTTTGTTTTTGGAATTTTCATAATAGGATTGAAAGTACTACACAGCAAAGAAAAAGCAGCGAAAGATCCCAGATAGTGATGTAAAATGTGAAAATATAAGAGAGATACACATATGTGAGGATAACATGGATTTATAATCGGCACACTTAAAAGTGGATGTCCTGGGTAGCTGAGTGGACAAGAGGACATAGTACAGGACTAATTTAGGACATTTTTAGGACAAGATTGAAAATTAGACTTCATATTGTACATGTTCAATAGAAGGACGTTATATTGTACATGTTAGATATGTGGACGTCAAATTGTTCGATAGATGGACGTAATATTGTACTTGTTCGATAGATGGACGTAATATTGTACCTGTTCGATAGATGGACGTCATATTGTACATTAGATGGACGTCATATTGTACATGTTAGATAGATGGGCGTTAGATATGTTGGACAAAGGGACAATAATATGAGCAGTATATCAAGGAACTGTCAATAGACAATGACAAATCAATAAAAATAAGAAGATTATAACTTCTCATTTTTTCTTCAATCATTCTAATCCATCAACAAAACTAAGGACGACTAATAAAATTGCTTCAGAAGTTAAAGAAATTTAAAACTACAATTAATCATTTGGTTTATAGGTCAAAATCTAAAATACAAAGGTTTTACTTTAAAATATATATTAGAGTCTTAGATTTACTGACATTTTGAGTTAAAAGCAATTATTTGTGCTTCGGATAACTTCAACTGAACTTCACATAAGGCTAGATAATTAAAAATGGCAATAAAACCCGTTTTTTTCCAAAGGAGTTACCGAACTTTACAAACTATAACCTGAAATTGAAAAAGTTATTGGGAAGGCTCAAGAGTTGGAACAAAGCAAAGAATCAAACGCTAATACGACTTTAAAAATTTGGTGCTAGTAAGAGTGGAGGGAGGGGGGGGGGGGCAGTGGCGGAACTAGAAAAAAAGGGCCACCCCGCAAAAAAAATTTTTTGGGCCCCATATATATATATATATATATATATATATATATATATATATATATATATATATATATATATATATATATATATATATATATATATATATATATATATATATATATATATATATATATATATAATACGAACATAGAATACTCAACACGGGCTTGTTCGAAATTTGAAACAAAATTAAAAATTCTTTGTTTGTTTTTTTTAATGAAAAAATATTACAACAACACATCATTTGTGTAAGTAATATTAGTATTAGTCTGTTTTGAAGTTCTCTGTTTTAATGTCTGACATATTATTATATTATTGCTTCCTAATTGAAATTGAAAAGTTGGTCAAAAGAATATGAAGCATGAAAGTTTTGTATGTGTAATGGTTTCTCGCCTTATGTTTATTTGTATGTTTTTTCGTATTTACATTATTAGTTTTTAATACATTTCCTTTTATTCTATGTCATTCTTTATTATGTATTTTTAAAAATAACTATTAAGAGAAGTACTTGCTTTTTAATTTGTTTAGTGCAAATCTATTAAAAGTTTCTTAAGAGCACACATATTTGATTATTTAAGAAAGGGAAATAAGTCATGGAATTGGTTTGAACGTTTGCCTATCTTTCACACTACAACTCACGTAGTCTATATATTTTTTTTCCTTTACGAAACAGTGTGTGTTAGCTACTGTAGAACATTTCTACTGTAGTAGATCTGTTGTTGTTTTTTTACAAGGAAATTTTTTTTTAACTATAAAAAAATTGATTATGGTCGGTCGTTGGCCCCTAAACGGCCTGGGCCCCCCCCCCCCCCCCCCGCATTGCGGGGTCTGGCGGCACTGTAGTTCCGCCCCTGGGGGGGGGGGGGTATTTATACCAAAGTTTTAACAGCAAGAGTTTACTGCTAGACGAGTGGTACCCAAAAACCCAACCACTTCACAGCTCGATTGGATGGGCTATTAAAGTAAATCTCGCATATGGTGCCACTTTATGTAGACATAAAACAATCTAATTATAATTCAAGGGGAGGTCACACTGTGTATGTAAAGAAGTTCAATAATTGACATTTTCATTTGTTGTCCGCGCAGAAGTTTTAAAAAAATGTTTTTTTTTTGTTGTTTTTTGTACCCGCGGCTATACACAAAATTAACGCTCTTTTTAATTCAACCAATGATTCATTGACAACATAAGAAATTAACGCTCACGACAATTAGACCAACGATCCATTCGCTTCCAATAATGTGTCTCAAAGCTAGATGTAACTCAAACAATTAGCCTACATACACGGACACAGGAGCTTAGTTTAGAGAGGGTGTTGGATGTATTGCATGAGTTTAATGTACTGAAAGAGGTGTAATTGGCAGATTACAGAATGCAGAGAACTTAGCGTATTTAGGCAAAGTGGTAATCTAATCAAATGCTATTGCTTGATGTATCGCAAGGGCGATTATTTGAGAGGAGCTTAAATTAAATTCATTTATTAATCTTATTTGACAGCAGTTGTTTGATGTTCTGGGGCCGTTATATGGAATCCATTCAACCGTGGGTCATCTGTCGCCTATGCTTATAATATATATATATATATATATATATATATATATATATATATATATATATATATATATATATATATATATATATATATATATATATATATATATATATATGTGTGTGTGTGTGTGTGTGTGTGTGTGTGCTTGTGAGTGAGTGTGTGTGTTTGCTTATGTGTGTGTGTGTGTTTGCTTGTGTGTGTGTGTGTGTGTGTGTGCTTGTGTGTGAGTGTGTAACCATACTTGTCGAAACGGGGTAAACTTTTTCCCCAGGCTGTGATTAACTGCCAGTATCTCACTTCTCTAGTAGACGGCCATTCGTTTTCTCCAGTGGACGGCCATTAGTTTTCTCTAGTGGACGGCCATTAGTCCGTGATGTACAGCCTAGCCAGCGAGGTCACGTCTGCTGACACCAGCCGTACGTCTGCTAGTGGCTGCCATCATTGAACGTGTCTAATCATCAGCAGATGTCTTTGATGACAGTGGACATGACTGAGGTCTAATCACCATCAAATGACTTGGATGACAGGGGACATCACTGAGGTCTAATCACCATCAAATGACTTGGATGACAGGGGACATCACTGAGGTCTAATCACCATCAAATGACTTGGATGACAGGGGACATCACTGAGGTCTAATCACCATCAAATGACTTGGATGACAGGGGACATCACTGAGGTCTAATCACCATCAAATGACTTGGATGACAGGGGACATCACTGAGGTCTAAACATCAGCAGATGACAGGGGACATGACTGAAGTCTAATCACCATCAAATGACTTTGATGTTTTAACCGTCATGTTCTTGACTAGCACAAGGCTAGTGCTAATTTGTCAGATTCAACCAGAATGTCTAATACGACAAGAAAGTTAAATAGTGCAACACTCGCTTAGTTGTGGGTGTGAATGAGTTGTGCTTTACCTTGAGATTACGGAGAAGGAAATTTAAAAGGTTTCTGTATTTTAAAAAAAATATTTTCGAATTGACAGAGTTAAAAGCTGGCCAACTTGGTTATGTAATGTCTTTATGGACATAAAGATTTTAATCGAATAAGTGTTATATATGTATATATATGTATATATATATATATATATATATATATATATATATATATATATATATATATATATATATATATATATATATATATATATATATATATATATATATATATATATATATATTATATATATATATATATATATATATATATATATATATATATATATATATATATATATATATATATATATTATATATATATATATATATATATATATATATATATATATATATATTTATTTATTTATTTATATATATATATATATATATATATATATATATATATATATATATATATATATATATATATATATATATATATATATATATATATATATTTATATATATGCTAAAAATTGCTTGATTTTTGACACGCAAAACTTACATGTGAGAAAGGTAAAAAAATATCAATGCATAACAAAATTTCTATTTAAGATGATGTAAACGCCTGACTACAGTGTACGTTCATGAACTATCGATTAGCACCTCGCCCAATCACTTAGATTACAATCAACATACAAACCAACCGCACTGCGAAAAAATTTTTTTAATCCAGCCATCAGACTGCGAAATTTATATTTTTAAACCAGCCTTCAGACTGTGAAAATTTTGGAAACTATTTACGGAACTACGTGGGGTTTTCCGTTAATTGCGTCCATGTTGGCTCACATGTTCCGATTACCCACTCTTGTCCTTTGATTGGGGAGGTGGTGTCGAAATAATGACACAAGTTTCAAATGGAAGATTTGTACGAACAAGATACGCAATCATTTTTACTTGTTGGGATTTGGCCAATGATTGCTTGTTAATTAAGGTGGCTTGGTTCAATCATTGAATGTGAGGACGTTAAAGTTGTGTTTGAGTTAAAAGCACCGGAAATGAAGTAGTGATTGACTTAGTTAAAGGACAAGGTAGAGATTGTAAGTTGGTGAGTTAAAAGTTAGAACAGTTGGCTGTTCTGTGTGAGAAATATTTCAGTTGTGACTGACTGCGATGTTTTTTAAAATAGTTAACATTGGTCTAATATTAAGCGATTCATACGTAATGCTGAGTTTGTAGAAAATTCATATTGCTTAATTGTCTGTTTTGTCCGTTGAATAGTTTATCTTGTAAATAAGCAGACACAAGCGTGTGCACACATACAAGCACACAATAAATACATACAGACACACGTACATACACGAGCACACACATATACACGTAGAATACACAAACTCAAATACGCGCTAACTCACATAAACAAGCAGACATATAAACACATACACGGAGCACTCACCACACATACAAACACCACTCATACAAACACACAATCACACACAGGGACACACACACACATATTAATTATAAAATACCCCCTCACGTAGACACCTGTATGCCTAAACAAACGTTGTAGTGAAAAAAAATATCTCTAAACATGTATAGATCAGATCTACGTTAGTCTCCCCCCCCCCCAACCTAGTGTCAAAACATTCGGATGCCCTGACCACGTGACCTAAGGAAAAGGTGAGGGGTGGGGATCTGATGCAGGCTCACACGATGTTTACCCTCGCTAGAGCCCAAGTAGCTGAAGTACTCACGGGAATTGCTTCACTAACAGTCTAGACTGCGAATACTCAGCATGCCAATATTTTCTCAACCCGGGCCACACAACATTTGCTATTTTTTTTACGCTAACCATTTGAACTATGAACCAATTATCAAATTAACACATTTCATAACCACCATACTACATCTAAAACTGTCTTTTTCGTCCTTTCTAAATGATTTTGTCTTAAAATTAATTTACTTAAACATCACTAATAAGAAATTAAATAAAAAATGTCTGCACCCCATTGTTTACGATCGACGCTAGCTTGAAATTTTCGGGTTCGAATCTAAATGTTGGACGTTCCTGAGTTCACCCAGCTGTGATGAGTACCTGAATCAGTTAGGCAAAGTAAAGGCTGCTGGTCATAGTAATGCCCACATTATGCTTTTAAACGCCGAGGTCACTGAAACTAGTGAACTCTCCTTCACCTTCACTTATATTTATCATTCAAATACGACTTGTGGATAGATTCATTTAACGGAAAATATCCAGCACAGATTGTGTATACAGCCTTGAGCTAAGGTTGATCAACGTGGACAATTTTCACGCTTGAATCTTGGAGCAACTGACCAATATTTGAAGCTAGAATGTTGGAACAACTGACCAATATTTGAAGCCAGAATCTTGGAGCAACTGATAGCCATTCGTGTAAGATTATTTTAGGCATGCGCGATGAAGTGGAAGTGAAGTTATCTAAAGCACGCATATGGAGGGGGGGGGGCGCTGGTGAGTGCTGACGGGATGGAGCTGTTAGAAGCCGGTCAGGCGTGAGTTAATGTGTGTGTGGGGGGGGGGGTGCCCGGGGGTGAGAGGAATAGCTAGGCGACCATGGTGTGAAAACCGGAAGTTACTGTCTGTGGGTCAAGAAAGGTGGGTTAAAGATCTCCGATTGGGAAGATTTGGTGGGTGATACTGGTTAATGTGATGGGAGGGGGGGGGGGAGCAGAGGTATGTTTCAGTGGGTGGGGAACTGCGTGAATATGTGGAGAACAGAGGGGGCGACTTGATTATTAGGTGGGGGGGGAGTCTCATTGTGGGGGAGCTGGGCGTAGGTGACTACTTGTGGGGGTCCGGTTGTGGGGTCTGGTTGTGGGGGTCTGGTTGTGGGGGTCTGGTTGTGGGGTCTGGTTGTGGGGGTCCAGTTGTGGGGTCCGGTTGTGGGGTCTGGTTGTGGGGGTCTGGTTGTGGGGGTCTGGTTGTGGGGGTCTGGTTGTGGGGGTCCGGTTGTGGGGTCTGGTTGTGGGGGTCTGGTTTCGGGGGTCCAGTTGTGGGGTCTGGTTGTGAGGAACTGTGTGTGAATGCCTGGATATAGGCGAATGGGTGTGGATGACTATTTGAGTCCAAATAAATACATCTTAACCAGCTAAGTATAGAAAAGCAGAAAGAAATCAACTGGATAAATGGCCCGTTGTATATCTATGGATGGGTGGGGTTCGCAAAAGAAAATATAGAATAGCTGGCATTCACAAAGTAGATAGGGTTTGTAGAAAAATATGGGATAGTTGGGACAGCAGCAGTTCCGTGTACTTAGATCTTTGCTTCAATCGACACAATCATGATTGCCGTTCACCTCAGAAGATGCTCAACACAGCGATGAACGGCCACCTAAATCATTGCCTAATCCGTGGCCAACAAAACATACCTGATGAACACCTTACACATTTTTCACACAGCATCATGTTCGCTGTTTCCATTCAACAGGGACTCTCATTGTACGTTAATCCTGCGCTGTTTTTTAACAGTTATGCGGTATTGACGGATCATAATTCATCGACATCTGTTATCGATTTCATCGATGCAATCATCAATATGATAATCCTAGCTTTGACTAGTCATCAATAAACACAACAGACGAAAACTAATTTTTGCTTAAACATTAGATTTGCTTAAGTATTATCTTTTATACTCTGTTTAATAATATATATATATATATATATATATATATATATATATATATATATATATATATATATATATATATATATATATATATATATATATATATACATAGGGAGAGGGACAGAGAGAGAGAGAGAGAGAGATAAATTATTGAAAGTGTATGTAAAAAAAACGTAAATAAATAACTTTTTACAGCGATTGTAAACCTTCAAATTACACGAGTATCCATATTTATTGAAGTAATTGTTTTCAAAGTTAATCTTACTTCTGGAGTCGAACTTAGCTCAGGAGTCAGACTTAGCTCATGAGTAAAACTTAGCTCAGGCGCCAATACTGTCCACTTGAGTCAAGCTCTAGCTCTGGACTCTAGAATCGACTCCTGTGGTCAAAGCTTAGGTCTACAGACTCCAAGTTTAGCTCAGAAGTCAATCTTCAATTGACGAGTCTGCGTTTAGCTACACAATCTAAACTCAGCCCTTGGAGACCAGGCCTAGTCCTAGACCATTCAGCTCCGGAATCAAGGCTTAACTCCTGGTAAACACAGCCAAATAATGCAACCTTTTCACTGGGATGGGAAAACGCAACAAGAAAAGGAATGAAGATCGATGGTGGTGGGCAAGTGTTGGTGAACGTGTGGGTCGGGGAGGGCGGGGTACAATGTGCTGGGCAAATACAGACAGAGGGACAAATAATGACGCTATTCGCGGTTTATAATTTCTTAAGTCAAGACAGATTTACACGTACTGGTACGTCAGCGAGACAGAGTCCTGGTCCTCACAAAGTCCTGGTCCCCACAAAGTCCTGGTCCTCACAAAGTCCTGGTCCCCAAAAAGTCATGGTCCCCACAAAGTCCTGGTCCCAACAAAGTCCTGGTCCCCACAAAGTCCTGGTCCTCACAAAGTCCTGGTCCCCACAAAGTCCTGGTCCTCACAAAGTCCTGGTCCCCACAAAGTCCTGGTCCTCACAAAGTCCTGGTCCTCACAAAGTCCTGGTCCTGACGAGACAAAGTCCTGGTCCCCACAAAGTCCTGGTCCTCACAAAGTCCTGGTCCTGACGAGACAAAGTCCTGGTTCCCACAAAGTCCTCGTCCTCACAAAGTCCTGTTCCTCACAAAGTCCTGGTCCTCCCAAGACAAAGTCCTGGTTCTCACAAAGTCCTGGTCCCCAAAAAGTCATGGTCCCCAAAAAGTCATGGTCCTCACAAAGTCCTGGTCCTCACAAAGTCCTGGTCCTCACAAAGTCCTGGTCCTTACGAGACAAAGTCTCTACAAAGTCCTGGTCCTCACAAAGTCCTGGTCCTCACAAAGTCCTGGTCCTCACCACAACAAACCCACCAAGAACGAGTCTGGTAAGCTGGCATCGACCAGGACTGAAAGGATTACAAGATTGTCGTGGCGGGGCTTTCTTGACTTGGGCACTGATGTCGGCGACATCCAATAGTGGAGCGATAGACATCAAACAGTCAATATTATTGAGAGAAGAATCAGTAAACTTTCTTGTGTGAAGATAAAGAAAATAAAAACATTTTATATGTAAATATTGGATATGATTTTAAAAACAGCATTCACATACAATTCCGTAAAGAAAATATCTCAAAAAGGATGGTACCACAACACATACAATGTGTATAATCGTACGCACATAATAAGCGCAACGTTTTATATTACGAATACTTTTGGTTTTTTAATTGCTATTTTCAACCCAAAAAAGTTCATACATCCATTAACCGTGTTCGCATGCCATTAAACAATACAGCCAGCACTTGTTTCAGAATACTGGTGTAGAGGTAAGAAAATTTTCTGAGGAAAAGATTTTAATTTTTACTTGCTTTCGCTAATGCATCATGTTTTTATGAATCTTGGTTTTATGCATCTTGTATTATGGATCCTGTTTTTATGGATTCGTAATTTATGAATCCTCTTTTTATGGGTTCGTAATTTATGAATCCTGTTTTTATGGGTACGTATTATATGAATCATGTTTTCATGGGTTCGTAATTAATGAATCGTATTTTTATGGATCTTGTTACTGCACATTTTTAATCAAGGTGAGTTAGTCGCCTATATCATTTAACTATTAATCGTGTAATTTGGTTGACATTACGTGTATAAGGAAGTTGATTAAAAAAAAATATCAAAACTTTATTTAAGACGATGTTTCTACTGGAATAATTTAAAATTAAGCAGGCGATTCAGGTGTGTTTTAATGTGTTAAAAATATTATGTTAGAAATGTGTTGAAGTATTGTGTAAAAAATATATATTGAAGTTTTGTGTAAGATTGTGTGAAAATATTGTGAAAAAATGTATGGAATTATTGTGTATAAATATGTGTTAACATTGTGTGTACAAGTGGAAAAATGTACTGTATTATTGAGTAGATTATGTGTTAAAATGTGTAGGCTATTGTGTTGAAAATACTGTGTAAAACACGAGTTATTGAAAAAACTCAAACTCCCGATTTCAAGTCGGGGGAGGTTACTCTAGTAAAATAACCAGGGTTGTTTACCCTGGGTGTGTGGAAAATCTGACCGGGAAAACCTTTGGGGAGAATGGAATAATGAAAGGAAAATAGCGTTCAGGGGAGGCGAGTCGAACCAGAAACCAATAGCGGACAGCGTTAGAAGATTGTTTGAAACTTGAGATTTGAGAACGCTTGCCCCTAGAACTAGTGTTAGAGAGGGAAAAAAGTGTGAAGTTTTTTTCTTTAAGAATGAAAAATTTGGAAAGAAACAGAACTGTTAAGATTCAATAGGAGTTGTCCTTCCTTTGTATTAAATTTTGGCTACTCTTTGATTGTTGGGAGAATACAGAAATTTTTTTTTTTAAGGTTGGGGACAGCATGTCTATCAAATGTCATTTATTTTGGTGTTATCTTCAACTTATTTACATTTTAACACATTCATTTTAACGCCATTTAATTGTTTATATATATATATATATATATATATATATATATATATATATATATATATATATATATAAATGAAACAATAAGGAGATATGTGGAGATGTCCCTGCCTGGGTTAGGTAACCAATAAGGATCTCACGCATTTAATGAAGGTAACGAACTCACGACTTACAGGTTAGCTTACGCTAGCTCTAACTTGTGGCCATGCCGTACTTATAGATTAGGTAACATATCCTCTGACAAAACAATTTTTTTTAACATTATGGGGTAATCAGTGTTTCTTCGAGACCTTTTTCTCCGGAGGGGTGGGGGGGGGGGGGGGGTTGGGGGTACTTGAAATTTTCGGGGGGGGGGGGGGGGGAGAGAAAACTAAAATTTCCGGGGGAAGCGGACGCTGTTAAAAGTATATTTTCTATATAACTTCCATTTCGTTCGGGGGGTCGTAGACTCCGCCACACCCCACTCCCCCACCCCCGAAGAGATCCCTAGAAGAAACACTGGGAGTAATCCCAGTGCATTTGTATGTCAAGCGTGTTTAAAAAGATATCCTCGAGCTATCTGGACCAAGTTTTGAAAACAGTTTCATATTTACTCGGCTGTTCGCTGTTTAATTGACCGTGATGTTACAATTCATCAACCAGCAGAAACGGTCCAATTCTGCGTGAAGTATACGATTTTCCCGCCATTTATCTCCCACATTTTTTCCCGCGATCTTTTTCCTTTCACAAAAAAAAAGTGACGTGAGTTTTAATTAAGATCCTTGAGCGATAACCTGATTTTTTAATTTTATATTCAAGTTTACTTTGCCAAACATGCAAAAACGTAAATTAAACAAATATGTCAGGTCATGTATTCCCTAGCTCAGTGCAGCTTCTGATGGAGCTTTAAATCGAATCCATCGATTTGTCCGACATTTTTAAGGTGTATTGGCAGTGGCTCTTTACAAGTGCGTACGGGATTTTGAAAAAGTGGAATGGCTTTTTGAAAAGGTGGACTGGCTTTTTAAAAGGTGGACTGGCTTTTTGAAAAGGTGGACTGGTTTTATTAAAGGTGGACTGGCTTTTTGAAAAGGTGGACTGGTTTTATTAAAGGTGGACTGGCTTTTTGAAAAGGTGGACTGGCTTTCTGAAAAGGCGGACTGGCTTTTTGAAAAGATGGACTGGCTTTTTGAAAAGGCGAACTGGCGCTTTTTGAAAAGGTGGATTGGCTTTTTAAAAAGGTGGACTGGCTTTTTGAAAAGGTGGACTGGCTTCTTGAAAAGGTGGACTGGCTTTTCAAAAAAAGTGTATGAACTTTTTAAAGATGGACTGGTAGTTTGAATAATGGAGAGGTGGTTTGAAAAGGTGGAGTGGTAGTTTGAAAAGATGGGCTGATAGTTTTAAATATTCACAGGTTGTATGACAGAGCACACAGTGAGTACACACGCATTTCTGTTTTCAGTTCGGTCTACTCAGCTTTATATTTAGTACCTAATTAATTATGGTAAACTCAAAGAGGCCTGGCTTACATCTGCCCCACAACCCGTTTATCTACTCTGATCGCTATTAACTAGTGTTCATAGTTTTATTTATGTCTTGTATGTTTTATCATTTGTAAAAAATGACGCGGAACGATACATTAAAATAGTACATTGAATATGTCACTAGCTGTTCTTCATAATTGTCAGTTGGTATCTACTGAATTACAATACCAGTGTTAATAATTTTTTGAAAAATATTAAATATAGACATCCTGACATATGTGATGGTAGAGCTTACAACTGCTCACATGCAAGTCTTGAGTTCGGATCCAAGTTTTTACCCCAGTCAAAGACGGCCGTGTATACAACTGACCACACTCAATCCTTATATGCCGAGATCACAGTAACAGCTGTTTATATTTACCTACTCTACGAATTGACCTGTTTTATATAAATCGACCGACTTGTACTCATCGATCTACCTATTAGAAATTGACCTGTTTATAAAAACTGACCTACTCGTACCAATGGGCCTACTTGTACGACCTGTTTAAAACAAAAATGACCTACTTGTATCAATGGACCTACTTGTACGACCCGTTTAAAACAAAAAAGACCTACTTGTACGACCTGTCTAAAACAAAAATGACCTACTTGTAGGACCTGTCTAAAACAAAAATGACCTACTTGTAGGACCTGTCTAAAACAAAAATGACCTACTTGTAGGACCTGTCTAAAACAAAAATGACCTACTTGTACGACCTGTTTAAAACAAAAATGACCTACTTGTACCAATGGACCTACTTGTAGGACCTGTCTAAAACAAAAATGACCTACTTGTAGGACCTGTCTAAAACAAAAATGACCTACTTGTAGGACCTGTCTAAAACAAAAATGACCTACTTGTACGACCTGTTTAAAACAAAAATGACCTACTTGTACCAATGGACCTACTTGTAGGACCTGTCTAAAACAAAAAAGACCTACTTGTAGGACCTGTCTAAAACAAAAATGACCTACTTGGTGCAGATGGAGCCGACCCTGAGCGGCATACAGATGGCGAGACACCTCTCCACCGTCATGGCGACTAGCAGCCAGTTCGCGAAGTGGGAGCTGAACGAGCCCAAGAAGGTGATAATTCCACACCCAGCGTCACCCACGGGCACGTCGAACTTGGTGACGGAGTGGAACAGGACCTTGAACAGCAGGCAGGCGTTGTCCACAAAGGCCACGGCAGCTACGTACCCCGTGGGGGAGGTCAGCGGCTTCATCCTGAGGATGGTGATGAAGCTGAAGATGTTGCCGGGGAAGCCGAAGGCGAAGATGACCCACAGGTAGTACAGGTTGATGTACCGTGCGGCTATGTACAGGGGGAGGGTTTTGAACTCTTCACTCAAGCTGTTGTTGAGAGTCGTCTGGTTGGTGGGTAGGGTCGTGTTGATGATGTAGGGGTGGGTTGTTACGTTGATGAACGGAACCACGTGATGGTTGTGTGGTTGGTCCATGTGATGGTTGTGTGGTTGATCCATGGTGGTAGATTGCGTGAGATAAAATATTCCTTGTCAACTTAAAATATTTTCCCCTCTCTCTTTGGGTACTTTTGCTAAAGTTTTTAGAAATACTTTACCCCTTTCATATAACAATAAGCCAAGAAACCATCTTGATAATAAAATTAGAATGGGGGTTAGTATATTTTGAATACATATGCCGTACTATTCTGTTTCTTTTACTATTCTCTCTTCAGGAAACTTTTGAATATTTTTCATCATAGGTTTTTAAATATAAATGTGAATGTAAATATAAAAGGTCAGGTAAATAATACAACACATTCGACAAATCACAGAGATGTATGCTGATGGTGATTTTGATCACACAAATAAGCAGTTGTCAGTGTCAGGTTAGATAAAGAGGATGTTGTTTTTGTCTTTCTCAATCACTGACATGGCACTTGTCAGTCACTGACACGCCACTTGTCAATTGGTAAAGCTGAGTGCACTGGGTGGAAATGAAGGTCAGAAAACGTGAGGTCACGGTCAACTTGACCTCTGGCAGAAGTTATGCCTGGTTTCTTGATATGACCTAATGAACACAGTCCAGTGAACAGAGTATCACGTGGTTTTTGTTGTCACCTTCCGGTTCCAGTTATATGAGATTATCTTCCTTCGCCTAACGCCTAATGTCAGCCTGCTGGAATAGATAATTAAAACATAATTAGTATAATCTCATTAACATATTAAATGAACGGGTTACTCAGAACCAACTCACCCACATATAAATAGAGACCTAAATAAAAGCTCGTAGAAAAACAAAATTAGCTGACCATAAAATTGTACTTTTAAACTTTAATTAGGTATTCAATTATCACATTATTTAACAGCATTAAATATTTTAAAAAATAAAATTAATCATGGTTTTACATTATTTTAGTGATTAGCAATGTGTTATAAAATAATGATTTTTTTTAAAAATATTGCATAAAAAACGTTTTAATAACAAGCTTGTAAGTAATAATGCACTAAAAGGGAAAAAAAATACTTTCTTTAAATATATATTAATACACTTCTATTTAAATTATAACAAATTATTATAAATTATTTAATTCTGTAAATATAACGCTTTAAAAGTAAAAATCAGTTTTATATAATGTTTCTCTATACAACAGTGTTATATAACATTAATCGAAACGATACTAGAACATTGCTCTATATGACAGCCATATATAACATTGCTCTATACGACAATGTTATATACCATTGTACAATATGATATCCATATATAACATTGCTGTATACGACAGCCATATATAACATTGCTCTATACGACAGCCATATAACATTGCTGTATACGACAATGTTATATACGATTGTTCAATATGATATACATATATAACATTGCTGTATACGACAGCCATATATAACATTGCTGTGTACGACAGCCATATACAACATTGCTGTATACAACAGCCATATATAACATTGGGCTACACGACCCACTCCACGTATATAATTATAAATGATTCACCACCCCCACACATTTATGTAACATGATACAGTCGTGGGGGGTGGGTGACGGGGGGACATTGTTAACATGTTTTTGAATGGCTACTGTTATCATATCAGGTAAAGTTAAACAGAATGGTTGTCAAGCCTCGTATCACACAGCAGTGTATGTTTACTGGATACATAGACAGTCAGCAATCAAACACGGTTAAATCTCGTCAGAAAAATGTCATCTCTTTTCTTTTTTAATCTATCAGAAACAAGTCATTTCCTTACTAAACATTTTGGAGACAAGTAATTTCTATCTATACTTTACACATAGGACACACGCATTTTAACACGAAGTCATTTCTTTACTAAACACAACGGAAACAAGTCATTTCTTTCTTCAACCTAACACAAACAAGTCATCTCTATACTGAACACATACGAAACAAGTCATTTCATTACTGTAAGCCATCGGGAATTGCCTCAGTAACATCTGCCACGATTACTTTTGTATTCGATTACGTCACAGGGGCCTCTACTGTGACGAAGATGGGAGAAACAATTCCGAGTTATCTGTCCATTACGAGTCTCTGCTGAAAGATCTGGAACAGATAGATCAATATCTGTCTCACTCTATGTGCTGTATTATGTCGTTATGTGGCCGACGTTATGTCCCATACATTCTTTGGTCTACGTTATATCCCTGTCGTTGTGTAAACCAAATTATACGCCAGTCAGTACTGTGTTGGTGTCAAGTTTGGGTTTGTTGATGTGTGTGTTAAAGAGCGCATTGAACGAGTTCAGGTGTAGAGACAGTCAGTACTGTGTTGGTGTCAAGTTTGGGTTTGTTGATGTGTGTGTTGAAGAGCGCATTGAACGAGTTCAGGTGTAGAGACAGTCAGTACTGTGTTGGTGTCAAGTTTGGGTTTGTTGATGTGTGTGTTAAAGAGCGCATTGAACGAGTTCAGGTGTAGAGACAGTCAGTACTGTGTTGGTGTCAAGTTTGGTTTGTTGATGTGTGTGTTGAAGAGCACAGTGAACGAGCTCAAAGTGAAGCGACTTGGTCTAGAGACAAGACGTGTGGTCTGGAAGTATGTAATTAGAACAAATACAAGGACAAGGGAGATAGCTGTTGACAGTGGTCAGTGTTTGGACTGACAGTTCTACGTGTGTTTAATGATCGGATGATGTGTGTAGGCCAGTGTACACGAGAGTGAAGAAGAGGCGCACGATTTAACACACTGTGTTGTACTTCAAACAATCGTTAACTCAGCTCATATTGGGTCCCCAGACAACACCCCCACAATAACCCACCAGTTTAAACCAGCATCTGCTTATAACAGATACTGGTTAAAAATTAACGAGTATGTTTGGCAAAGATTAATTAATCAACTTAATCACGCTCTCCCGATATACTACAGCCCTTATTTAGGTTGTCATTAATCCTGATTGACAGTTTGTAAAACCTTTTTAACGCCTACATTTTTCTATAATTCATAGCTCCTATCCCAATAACCAGGCTCTTAAATCTCAAAGACAGAAGATGTGAGTCTTGTGAGAAGCAATTCTTCTAAAAATGTACTTGAAAAAATTCAAAATATTTCCTTGGCCCTCTCAAGAATTCCATGATCAAGAGTTTTCTTGTATGTATATATTCTCTAGGAATAACTTGAGCCTTGAACACTGTAGGACAATATTGAATGGATAAAACTCGTTCATGTATTTATTTAGGATTTTAAAATTTCCTTATCCACTTAACCATCAAGATCAGGAAAAATTTCAGGCTATAATTATAATTGAAGAGAATTCTAGCATCAATTTGTCCCATTTCGTACAGCGAGCGACAAGTTCCTCTCTCTCCAAATGGGAAACATTTTGAGCACGAATTCCAATTTCATTGACCGCATCAGACACAAAACTAAAAAAAAAATAAAAAAAAATCGAGAATTTTTTTCCCCACTTTGGTCGTCTGCTGTCTGCTGCTAGGGTCAGTGTTGACGCCTGCCAACCTTCAACCCGTCTAAATGCCTATGTCCGTCATATTTGAAGTCATTTTCCATGTTTTCCATAATCGAATCATAGCCCTCACCATATTTCTGTACTCTTCCGATTCCACCCCCCCCCCCACACACACACCTCCCATCTGTCGACATCCCAGATGAAATATGTAAAAACCGAAGTTTCTCAAAATAGATGGTAAGAATTTTTTTATATATAAAGCGAAACGAAATAAAGATCATCTTCCCAAAGAGATCCGATTTTTTTGATTACCTGCCTAGTAAGGGCATGAGAATCTAGACAAAAAATAAGATGAATATCAATGATGAGCCATAAATAAGCATTAAATCTCCCTTAATACACGACTGAGAAAGGTGGGGGAGGGTTGAGGGGGCGTTGATGTATAACCGGAAGTTGCAAATATAATACGTTATGTGAAAGCTAAATGTCAAAGAGCAACATAATCACGCTTTATATTGCGTACTCGTCTACATCAATTTTCTGAACATAGACATTTATAGCTGAATACAATCGCTATAATCTGAACATATATATTTATAGCTTAACACAATTGAAATAATCTGAGAAAATGTACATATATATATATATATATATATATATATATATATATATATATATATATATATATATATATATATATATATATATTACATATATATTACATATATATTACATATATATATATATATATATATATATATATATATATATATATAGCTTAACACAATCGCTATATTCTGAACAGATTTATCTATAGATTCACAAAATTACTAAATTTTCTGAAAAAAGACCTTCATAGCTTAATCCTTTATTTACGGAAATAGGTTCTGAATGCAATTTTTTCTTAAACAATGTGTTATCATATTGCTTTTGGCACATTTAAAGCATAAGTCGAAGGAAATTTGGTTTCATAGATTTTTAATGGCCCAAACATGTATTGGTACTTATAAGTATCGTCAGGAATGTAGGACATTTTTTCCAACATTTTTTTTACAGAATTGCTATAATCTGAACAGATATATCTATAGCTGAATATTATTACTATAATCTGAAATTATAAACCATCTTGATTGCGCACCATCTTTATTGAACTCCTCCTACGTCTTTACACTCCGCCTACTCCCCTCCCTTACATATGTATTACGGTCAAGGCCTCCGCCTCTTGCCCCTCAATATAATGACGATATTTATGTATAACTATGTACCACGCACCAGGGGCGGTAATTACGCCCCACATTAGCTATTTAAGGGGCACCATTTCATCACGTACACGTTTTTCTAAAAATTGTTTTGTCCTGTACGAACGTTTTGATTGGCTTGGCGTCAAAACTCCAACTTTTGGTATCTAATGTTAAGGGAGGTTATCCCGCATAGAGGTAACCATGGTGATCGTGTTTCTACATTAATTTAATTGGAATGATTTTAGAAGGGAAAAAATTGGTTAATATTCGCGTGGTCTGGCACAACTTACCGGGCCCAAAAATGGGAAATGAGCAATTGGGAGTCGATACAATTGGGAGTCT